TTTAGACCTAATAATTTAGATTTATAACTTAGACCTAATAATTTAGATTTATAATTTAGCGCAAACAAATCGTTTTTACGTTAATCTTGTTAAATTCAAAGAACTAAAACAGCGAGTCTGAAAAACTTCTTCAGTCTGAGGAGCTGTGTTCAGCTCAGTCTTATAAATAGCACCTTCTCAGAGTGGACCAACCAGTTTGTTGTTGACATCCAGAACCAGCTGCTCACATGATCGAGGACGACCATCAGGTCTGGATCGTTAGCACCCTGACGGCTGCTGATTCACAGGGGGCTGAGTGATACTACAACACATGTGAAGGTCTAACCCACTGACGTTGATTGACAGCTGAAGTCATTATGAAATAAAATAATAAAAATGAAACATGTTCTTATTACGTTTTATTTATTTAATTTTGAGCATTTTGGTGTTCCATACTGTAGAGATCAGGCTTCTCAATGAACGTTGATCATTTCTGTACGGTTATTTTAATGTCTCAATGTCTTGTCTAGTACAGATGTTTCATGAGTCTGACTGTGAAACAAATTGCCCCTGGGGGTTAATAAACATTCTTGAACTAAGTGTCAGTTCAAGAAAACTCGTATGTGAAAATCGTTGAAAGGTTAAGCATAAAGTTTAGACTCCAAGGTAATGTCAAAAAGACTACAGCTGGAGAAGACTTTACGTAACTCTTATCAAATAAAACCAAGTGATTTCCAACTTCCTGTCAGGCTTCTGAGCGTGCAGCTGTGTCTGTCACCACAGGGTCCTTCAGTGAGTTTATGAAGAGACGAGCGTGGTGTCAGAGATTCTCGCATAATTAACGCACCTGGTTTACACTGCCTACCTTCTAGCGGGAGTCCTGGACTTGGACCGGGCTTGGGAGCCAGATCTGATGGTAGAGAGAAAAAAAGAAACCAGATTTGAGTAAAAGATGGCTTCAGATGAGGAGCAGACATGTGGTTCCTGATGCCATCACTTACCTGCTTCTGCGTCTGGAGTAAGAGGGAGATCGGCGGCGGCTCCTAAGTAAGACAGAGAGAGCGTGTCAAACGGTGTCAGCTGTAGCACGCCATTCAGCTGGTCGGCCCGTTAAAATCTTGTGACGAGAACACAAGACGACTCTTGTTTTGTCAGCTCAAAAACTAAGGGTTCCGGTCCAGCCGCTGCAACATCAACTTTGTGATCATTTAAGGTCAAAATAAAAAACTGTGTGTTTCTGTAGCTGTACAACAAACGCAAAGGAAACCAACATTAGAACAGGTTATATAAGCTGCTGCCTCGACTCGTTAATGGATTTTAAATATTGAGCGAGTTTGACAGAAACGTCTGACCCAAACCAAAGTGTCTTCACGCTTGAAGGAAAGCTACAGAGACGTCTGTGTTTCTGCGCTGACATACCGGCTGTAGCTGCGGCTACGGCTGCGAGAACGAGAGCGGTAGCGGCGCCCGCGGGACCTGGACCGAGATCGCGAACGAGACCGGGACCTGAAACAAAGAGACATTAATGCATCTTCTGCTCTCGTTTGATGCAGAATTTCAAATATTGCTCGTCTAAACGACCAATAAGCTTCAAGATGTTTGGAGCGACAAAAAAAAAACCCGTCCTCTCACCTGCTGCGGCCACCACCACCACCACCACCGCCGCCGCCACCACCTCTCTTGCTGTAGCGGTAGCAGTCGTAGGCGTAGTGGCCCCGGTCCCCACACTGGTAACACCGATCATTGGGGTCAAACTGGCGACGGCTGGGCCGCCCACGACCCTTCCTGGAGAGGCCAGTGGACAGCTCCACACGAACACGGGAACCACACAGGACCCTGAGAACATTAGTTTGAGAAATATCTACAATTACTTGTGCTTCAATACAACAATAATAAAATCTGTCAAGTTTTTTTTAAACTAATTTCAAAACCACTGGAGGGAAAGACAACTTACTTTCCATCCATGCCTTTAACAGCATCTTCTGCATCTCTGGCATCCTCAAACTCCACGAAGGCAAAGCCGGGGGGGTTCCTGGCCACCCAGACGGTTCTTAGAGGGCCATAATAACTGAATGCTCGCTCCAGCTCCCCTTTGGCGGCACCATTGCCGAGGTCCCCAACATACACTTTACAGTCAGTGGCCCGAGATGAACTCCGGGACGACGAATAATAGGACATCTCCCCTTACCTGCACGAAAACACAGAAAATCACTTTAATTAAATTTATAAATTATAACTATTCATATAAAAACAGGACATTATTACATGCAGTGTCCTCTCAGTGAGGACTGAACTAGGCCAAAGGGTCTTCTCCTACTCCGCTCCCGTTTCCTGGAACATCTTGCAAAAAGATCTGAAGCTCTCGACCTTGACCTCTCGAAGTGGCTTCAAACATCTGATAAGTTCCTGGCAAAAGCCAACGCAGACATGTTCCTGTTTTTAGTTTTCTAAACCGTCTTATAATCTAGCTGTTGATGGTATAATCTGAAGTTGTTGGTCACAAGAAACCCTCAGGTTCCCCTGCTGATCCCGTCCCTGCAGCGGTTTTTTTTAAACGGGTTCTACCGTCAACTGGATCCTCTGTTCTGGCCATTATTAACAGCAGTTTGGCTACAGGTGTGGTCCCTGATGTTTTTAAACATGCAGCGGTAACTCCATTAATTAAAAAACCCGGACGTGACCCTGCAACTTGTTCAAACTACAGGCCAATCTCAAAACTTTGATTTCTTTTTAACACCTTGGGAGAAAATAGTTTTCTGTCAACTAACCAAGTTTTTGAATGTAAATGGAATTTTTAGATTTTTCAGTCAGAATTTAAACAATTACGTGCATGCGTGGGTTTTCTCCGGGTACTCCGGTTTCCTCCCACAGACCAAAAACATGCACGTTAGACTGATTGATAACTCTAAATTGTCCCTTGGTGTGAGTGAGAGAGTGAATGGTTGTTTGTCTCGTTTGTCTCCATGTGTCCCTGTGATGGACTTGCGACCCGTCCAGGGTGTCCCCCGCTCCTCGCACAGTGATTGCTGGACATGGGCACCGGCGACCCCCGTGACCCAAAAGTGGAAGAAGCGCGTAAAAGATAATGGATGGATAGATGGATTTAAACAATTACACAGCACTGAGACAGCATGACATTCTGCTAGCGAATGACTCTGGTCAGTCTGTGAGCCTGGAACTCCTTGACCTTAGTGCTGCATTCAACACTGTTGATCACAGTATCCTTATATCATGGCTAGAACACTGGGTTGGGATTACGGGTGCAGCGCTAGAATGGTTCCGTTCATATCTGAGTGACAGGAGTTTTTGTGTCAATCATTTATATGCTTCTGTCCCTCTTTCTTGTGGGGTCCCGCAAGGCTCTATTCTTGGACCCCTTCTGTTCTCATTGTATCTGCTCCCCTTGGGGTATATCCTGAGGAAACATGGTATTTCATTTCCTTGTTATGCTGATGATTCTCAGATTTGTCTGCCCTTAAAACCTAACAGTTCATGCTCCATTCACCCTTTGCTAAAAAATGTCTCGAGGACGTGAAGACTTGGATGGCTGCAAACTTCTTGAGTTTTAATGATCAGAAAACTGAGGTCATTGTGTTTAACCCAAGCTCTGCCACTGTCACTGATCCTGGAAACCTGCACTCCCTTCAGCCACATCTAAAACAGTCTGTTACCAATCTTAGGATAGTTTTAGACTCTGACTTTAAGATTAATAAACAGATCAACTCTGTTCTACAAAAAAGCTTCCTTCAGCTAAGGCAGATAGCTATGCTCAAGTCTGTTTTGTCCAGATCTGACCTTGAAAAATTAGTCCATGCATTTATTCATTACAACCCGGCTGGACTACTGTAACTCACTTTATGTTGGGGTAAATTAGGTCTCCCTCTCACATCTCCAGCTCGTACCAAATGATGCAGCTCAGCTAATAACAGGAACTCGTAGGTTTGAGCACATTTCACCAGTTCTGCGCTCCCTTCACTGGCTTCCTGTGTGTGTCGGAATAAATTTTAAAATTCTCCTGCTGACATTTAAGTGCATTAACGGCCTTGCACCCTCATACCTCTCTGACATTCTTCATCCTTATACTCCTTCTCAGACTTTGAGATCATCATATCAGCTGCTTTTGGTGGCACCAAAAACCAGGTTGAAGCTCAGAGGAGATCGAGCATTTTCAGTCGTGGGCCCTAAACTCTGGAACAATCTGCCCATCAACATTCACAGGCCACCTCTGCTTTTAAAACTCTCCTGAAAACTTTTCTGTGCTCTTTGACAGAAGTGATCGGCTACTGATTATCACGGAGTAGAAAGTCCAACATCATCCTCGTCGACTCGATTGTGGTCCACTCAGTGACCAGTGTGTAACTGTTAGATGAAGCGGTCCCACTTGGCATCAAATCTGTCGACTCTTATTCAAAATCCAGCTTTAACTTGTTGTTAGGATGTTGTTAGCTGAGCTTTTAGCCCAAAGGAAAGTCCTTACAGGGAGAGGGCCGAGAGCATGCATGCGCATTAGGTGAAGGTACAAAATTCATAGCGCCAACTAATGAGCCGGCATGGTAACTACAGCGGATTCGGTGTGGTGGGGGATTCCTCTGGATGCATGTAAACACAAAATCCGTTCATGTCAACGTGGATCTTTTCCTCTAATTAACATACAAAAAAAACCCTGTTTCCCCCCACCGTGTTCATGTAAATAGGGCCTAAATCACCCTAAACTGGATATTTGTCTCCATGTTTTTTAACGAGAAGACAACTTCATATTTTGCCACTCTACAGTTAATTTCCTGGAGAACACCAAACCTCTGCTTTGTAGCAGCTACCCAGTCATTTTAACACCTATCAGTTGTCTCCCACTGTGAGTCAACAAAGATATCTGCATATCTAAGCTCAGCTTTGTAATTCAAATAGTCTTCAGGTGCAGCAAGCGCCGGGGAGGGGCCGGTTTGTACTCAAGTGACAAAAAAGAAAGAGGGGTGGCATTAAAGCGCAGACTGGGAGGAAAAACGGGAATTTATTAACTGTAGGTAGAGTATAAGACTATATTGTTTTATATCGATATAGTCTAATTTTATACCGTGAATTAAATCAATATTTTGAAACATCGATATATCGCCCAGCCCTGGCAACTACCATATCTAATTTTAGCTCAACATCTGTAACACGACTGAGTTCAGTGTTTCCCCTAGTTAGCTTGCCATGACGGGGTGCTCATCTCATCCATGATTTTTGCTGATGGGGGGGACGAAGACGTCTGAGCGCAGCTTGTCCTAACAGTTTTTGAGCGGGGACGGGGGGCGTTCAACGTGAGGGAAGAGGCAATGTGAATGCAGCCTTTGGCTTTTTAGCTAGAGAGCCTGTATTTTGCGCTGCTAGCTTAGTGATATGTCAGTGCCGGGTGGGAGGGGCAAGTTCAGTTTGGTAGGCGGGGTGCTCAGTTCTGTTGACGGGGTGGGGCACCCCGCCTGTATAATGGTAGGGGAAACACTGGAGTTACAGCAACGTGTTAGGCTTAATACCATAAAGTTGTGGCGGCCATCTTGACTTGGACAGACTCTCTAAGTTCATCAGTCGTAGACGAACGCCCAACAATTACTCATCTGAAAAATGAACCACTTTTTCCTCATTACAGAAGCTAAAGTTTAGCAGATCAACCCTTGATTTAAGCCATTAAATGCCACCAGCCTGATCAAGAAAGCTCATCAGAGACTCTACTTCCTCAGATGGCTGAGGCGAGCTGGTCTGGGAAGCTCAGTCCTCACCTCCTTCTACAGGTGTGCAGTGGAGAGCATCCTGTGCTCCAGCATCAATGTGTGGCATGGAGGCTGCACAGCTGCAGAAAGAAAAGCTTTGCAGAGAGTGGTGAAGGCTGCACAGAAGTCTGTCAGAATCAGCCTCCCCACCATCACAGACATCTACACCTCCAGATGCAGGAAGAGGGCCACCTGCATCATGAAGGACCCCACTCACCCAGCACACACACTTTTTGCCCCACTCCCCTCAGGAAGGAGGTTGAGGAGCATTAAGTGTAGAACCACTAGACTGAGGAACAGCTTCTACCCTGAGGCTGTTAGACTCATGAATCTCTAACTAGAATAATCACTGTGAAAAACCATATCATGTTGCTGCTGATCTGTTTCATGTTGCTGCTGATCTGTTTCAATGTTGATGTGTTCATGCGTGCACATGTGCTCACAGACTCATGTTCATGTTTGTGCTGATGTTTTATGTTATGAGTGCTTAGTGTATATTTAGTTGATGTTTTTTTTTTCTTAGTTCATATCTTAGATGTTATTACTGTTTTTCTTATACATTTTATTGTTGGATGTAACTGGGACCCTGTGTACATAATTTCGCTCCACCACATGTACCACATGAGGTGCAAATGACAATAAAGAAACTCTGACTCTCACTTAAATCAAAAGTCAAAATGTTCAGTCAATTAAAAAAAAATAAAACGGTTAAATTTCTTTCTTTAATGTCATCAGCAGGACACGTTAAAACATCACACCTTTTGTTTGTGGACCTAGCTTGATTAGGTGGTTGTCAACAAACAATATCCATGGAAACAAATTGTCCTGTAAATGTTGCAGGTCCATAAATGTCTCACCAGTTTATTCTGAACTAAATAATTATTTATGCACGGGACTTCTTTAGCGTACCTTATTGAATTTATCTACGTTGGGTGGATCAGCAGGTGTTATTTTGCCATCACTGTCAGCAAAGAATCTCCTCAACTCTGAATCAAAATCTGATTTCACTCCCAACTCCTAACAGACTATCTGTGCCAGTTTGACACAGGTACGACACCTGTGCCCGCTTCAGACACAGGCACGTTAGATGTCATTTTGTATTTATTATAGGTCTGTTTGTATGTTTTGTTCTGTTGTGTATCTGCACTGTGTGTTGTGTTGTACTTTATGTTTGGTGTCGCACCGTGATCCTGGGGAACACCGTTTCGTTTCAATATGTACTTGTACATAGCTGAAATGACAATAAAACCTCTGATTATGACACCTGTGCCGGATTCAGACACGGGTACGACACCTGTGCCCGCTTCAGACACGGGTACGACACGTGTGCCCGCTTCAGACACGGGTACGACACCTGTGCCGGCTTCAGACACGGGTACGACACCTGTGCCGGCTTCAGACACGGGTACGACACCTGTGCCCGCTTCAGACACAGGTATGACTTCTGCAGTTTGCCTCCGTGTTGGCGCTCAGAGCCGGTGTTGTACAGAAAAAAAGCACCCCAGCAGAAAGAAGCATGAAGCAGTTTTCCAGGCAATTCTGACCCAAAACAATCAGAATGAAACAATCCATTTATGTTTTTCAGTGCCCACAAGTACACAGATTTATAAAGTATAGGTATTAATTAATATAAACCATGTTTAATTGACAATTTAAAGGTTTAACTATGAAATCTGCAAGGCAGGGTCTTCAGACCTGCAACACTACAGTTGCTCATCAAACGTTATTAATCGAAAATTAAACAATATATTAGTTCAACGCCAGTTACTTGTATTGAATGAAACAACACGAACAAGACAGCTCTGCACTTGTACTTTCATTTCGTTGACTATCGTGCGCTTTGAAACGCGCTTCGTTCGTTCAAGGAGGGCCTTACAGCCGGGGTACTTTTTCCAACACAACACTGGCCATGTCCTCAAACGACAAACACGCTAAAGAAACATACAAGCTTATGTAAAAGTTGAAAGCTATATAAAGTATGTGCACAACGTTGATTCAAAACGTACGTATAAGCATTTAAATCCAGGAATTAGTCGAGGCCTTGTCTCACACACAAAGGCGTTAGCACACGTTAGCTAGCTGTCCTTACCTTTTTCCGCTGGATGTTTATTTAAATAATATTCCGCCGTGTTCAATCAAACTCTGGAGTCAAATGTAGTTGATTAAAGGATAATTACCCAATTATGTAGAAGCGACGTGTATAATAACCGATCACAGAAATGTTATCCGGGCTCCTTCATGTGCTTCCGTAACGGCTTTAACAGTGAGTGCAGAACGGCTCCGGTAACAGACAACCCGCGCTGCCGCAGCGTCCTCTTCCTCACGGCGGCTGTTCTCCCGCTGTGCGGTTCGTTAGCGCCACCTGCTGGACTGGAGTGTGTAAAACAGGCCACAGCGCGGGGATCATTAGCGCCACCTGCTGGACTGGAGTGTGTAAAACAGGCCACAGCGCGGGGATCTTTAGCGCCACCTGCTGGA